GATCGGTCCAAGTGCAGTGCGTTGTTTCACCATAAGGCCTATCTAACTTGAGAATATGAGCCCAATCAATTTTTTGGCCGTTGCAACAATATTTAGAAAATGTTCGATTTTTGGCCAGATTTGCCCTTAAGTTCAACCTCTCTTCGTTTGTGCCTGCGAATAGTCTCACAAGTTCAAACCACGAGTGATCGCAACGACGTTATTTATCGAGAAAAATCTGGAACTCTATTGGATTAAGAAGTGACGTCATATCGTGACTTTTAGAAGTTAGCGGGGGTAGGGCGTACTTGTTTTCTTGCGTCGTTGGAAGGGCGGCGGGGAAAAAAGGAGCAAAATTCTGTCAAGCTTCAAGTGACGTTTTATTGTTTCTTCACCCATGCACATTTTAAAAAATATAGAGACAATCTTTTTTTTTTCCCGTTGGATTCTGTTTATATCTACAATAACTGTATAAGACCGGTTTATAAATTAACCCTTTCAACCATTTCAAGGAAATTACAGTTCGCCGTTTCACAAAAAAATTCAGATTGAAAAGTTTACAAAATCCTTATTTACAGCTAGAAAGGGAAACAGAAGACATCTTTTTAACACTATCATACAAGTCTAAGAACTGAACGATCAATAAAATTCTTTGATTGATTGACACTATTTTGAGGTCAAGAATACAGATTGATCAATTGCTCTTCGATTTTTATAAACACTATTCACACAATGCTACTCAAATATCCTTATTAAATCGTAAAAACCAGAACTAGACTTAAGTAAAACCGATAATTAACGGTTGAAAAACTATACATCAATTTACAGGTGATAAATAAATTTGCCCCTTTATAGTGCGGCCAGAATCCTGGGACTTTTTCCATTTTATACATTTTTTTACATTTTCAATATTTTATATATTTTTCTTTGTTATTTTACGTACCTTTACAACCCATAAAATACACACGAAGAACACTACTTCGAAAGTTCAGTGCAGTTATAAAGATAGAAACACGTTCAGTGCATGTTGATTCGCCAAAAACTATCAAAAAGTAAGCCTTTTTCTATTTCTCATAAGCGATGCACCAGGCAATAGGAAATTTAGAAAGCAAGGATAATGATAATATTAATAAAATAAATAACCAAAGCATGGCGAAGAAATCTATCAAAAATCGATTCACCTAAGTGATGACAAAAGGTCTCTCTAACTTGAATTGTCGCTTCAGCGAGTCAAGGCCGAAAAAAGATTTCACACTCGAGAGAACCAGACCAAATTTTCTCTTGGAACAAGATTATTTTCATTTTAAAGTTATTCTTAGTAGCTCTTCATGCTAGTATATATTATTCTCTAATATGACTTAACAACTGCCTTTTTATAAGACGAAACGGTTTGTCCAATCCTACTTAGGACCAATTATTATAATCGGGTGGGAACAGCGGGCTCGTTTCAGCGGATGAGTAGGAAGCAAACGCGTTTACACCTCCCCCCCGAAAATCTGACTGAAATTGGAATTGATTTTCTCCGTTGATTGAAGTTGTTCTTTTTTTGCCGTTTTTTACCGGTAAGAGCGCGCTGTCGTTCATGGCGTCTGCCAACGTTTCCACAAGTTGCTCCTCTTTATCCTCGAACATCTCGTTGTTTAAGCCTGGCCATGGGTCGTTCAAACTTCCTGGGCCATTGTCAACAATAAGTGGCATACTCCCCCCTAGATTGGGCGATGCGCATCCAGTGAACGCAAACTGACCTGACGGGGTGGGTACTGGATCCGAGCAAACAGGCTGCAGTCTCAAACTCTGCAAGTCCAGTTCTTCAGAGAAGAAACCCATTGAGTGACCATCCCTGTTAAGAGCTGCTATGGTGGCCCCACTGCCCGAGCCCCCTGACTTAAGGTCACCTAAGCTATGGGTGGATGAAGCAGATGAAGAGCCAGGTGGTTGGTAAGTCTTGAAAGAGAACTGTGGTCCCATCCATAGTCGTCGATGAGGGGCAGAGTGGGTCTCCATGTCTATGTTTGCCAGCCACTGATCGTCCGAGATGCGCGATTCACTCTCCTTGCCGATTTTCTTCTCTGAGAAAGACAACGGACTACATTATAATTTACAACGTTTCCGGTTACAGCTTAGGGTAAGCATAATCAAATTCCTTCAAGGAGAAAATGTACGCCCAAAGTTTGCGGCGCTAAGATAGCTATGGATATCTTTACACTGTTTGTTGTTTATGTAAAGCATTGAATCCGAACGTATTGTCAATCTTGTGTCAGCAATGTTACCTTGATTGACGGCGTGGTTACTAAGCTCACAAGGAGAAACTTTTAAGCGGCCCAGCAACAGACCGACATCTTTGATCACGGGACTTTTGCTTTCAGGCCAAGTAACACACCTGCAATTACCAAAAACATGACAATGAGGACAAACATCAGAGCTGTTATGACGGGATCAAGGATTAGGCTTGAGCACCAGCGTCTGTTGTAGAATCAAAACCAAAGTGATCACGACTGGCCAACCACAAAAAATGCAAATGTTAAAGGAAGTCAATCGGAATACAGAAGAAAAAGACTTGAAGACAGTTTCAATCACGTCTGTTTTTGTGACGCGTAAGAAGCAAAAAAGAAGCAGCATTTTAAGTCTTATGTGACGGCGAAGCAAAGAAAACATTCGAAACAAGATAAAAGTCATTCCTACTCAGAGAAAAATAAGTCTTGGCTACAAAAGCGCGCGAAGAGAGGCCACATCGCCTCACGCGCCATCTCCAAGTCTCACCCATACGTAACCACACGCGACAAGCATTACGTCAACACTTCCTGCTCAGCTAACGGAGGGTTTGATCCCGTCATACCTAGCAAGCGTCCACTGCGCTCTTCCAGTAGTGCTGAGATTCAAGGGGGTGTCGTCACTCTGTGGAACAGTTTTCACGGCCTGTGGCTCCAGAACGTACTCTGTCAAGTTCCCATGGAGGTCCAGTACAAAAAGCGAGTCAACAGGTGAAGATCTACACGGTTCTACAGAAAAAAAGGTATAAAGAAATAAAATAAAAAAACAAAAAAAAAAAATGAAAAACAATAACAAAATGGTTTAGCCTACAAACGAAGGTTCCCTTAGCTAAAGGTTTTGTTTATTTCTGACATATGTAGGGGTGACAAACTTTCGATTGTTTAAGATTCAAATTCAGTCTGTGGGTCATCTGGCAGCTTACTGACTCTCATCGGTGATTACCAAGTAACTTCTTGAAATATCAAAATTAATCTCGTAAACAGGTGATAGGAATAGACGAACGTATTAGTAAAAAGTGTGTTCTCTGAACACAACGTAGCACCGAAACTCAATCAAGAATGACACCAACTCAACTGTCTACATATCAGGGCACGCCCGAGACAAATGAATCAAAGATAATTTATCCCTTGGCGAAGCTGGCTATGCACTTTACCTGCTCTGGTGCTGTTTGGACTTCCACCTAACCATCCCCTAGATGGAGCAAACGTCATCGCGGCACCCACCGAATATTCCAAGCCCACACGGCCATTACACTTATTAGAGCTCTGGGCCGAACCAGTGCAACAGGGTCCACCGCATCGTGGGCCATCTGGTGTCCTTATTTGTGCTAAAGGTTGCACAAAGTAGGAATGAGGAAGGGGAGGGAGGCGGGGATTTACCAAACCATTGTTGCTGGTTGAAGTGGATGTCAAGGATTCTCTGGCCAGTGGAGTCCCTGTGGAGCTAAGCGGGCTTCCGTTGGGTGAGCAAGAAAGGTTGGGCCCTGTGCCGTTGCATGGACTGTGTCTGCCTGAGCCTGTAGTCGCCTGATCAAGGTCATCCAATCCAGCGCTGGTGTGGAACCGACTGCTGCGGTTGACCACGCGACGGGAGGAGTGGGTGCGGACTGTTATGGGACCTACGAGAAAATGTTGAGAAACTATGACATGCACCGAAAATCACTGACACTTCAGGTTTGCTGTTGCGCTTGATACATGTTAGATGAAAAGCCACAGTTTGCAGCTTGAAAGCGGCAAGTTTTTGCGTGAAAGATACAATAGCGCATAACGAGAGACAAATGTCTTCTTCTCGAACAATTTCAGGATAGTTTACTACAATTGTAAGCTAGAGAAACCTGAGGGAAAAACTTTGTTTTTTTCTAAGTTTGACTATTAAACCAGAAAATGTGCGCGAACTTCAACGACATTAAAGTTTCTTGTGTTTTTGATCTTTTATTTTTCTTCTGGGAGAGAACTGTTCTTTTTATGAGCTTACCTCCGTATGAAGTTATTGGAAAAACATGCACAGTGCCACGGACAGTTGATACAGCAACCCATCGACTGTCAAAGGAAAATGCCATTCCGTGAACCTGGGAAAAAGATTAGGACAAACATCAGATGAACTCTAATTTCGGCCGCTTTTCCGGTTCGCGATAACTCGAAGACTCTTTGGACTATGAAAAAAACTAACTGTCAAAGTTACCCCCCTCCCCTCCCCTCACCACAAAGACCCAAGAAGGACTACGACAAAATGAAAATTCCCGGATAATGTTATCACGTGTTTCAATGACACAGTGGTAAGAGCAGGAAGTACTCTTTAAAAACTTCACGAAGCAAAAAACAACAGTGCGACTTGAAGGTAAAAAATCACAAGAAAGTGTGCTTAGCTACTTTTAGTTTATTTGGAGTACAGCCTGAACTTACTGTTGCAGTGGTGTGCCCTCTATGCAGGGTGTATAAGTGATGAACAGCGCCTAATGAAGGACAAATTGGATGTGGTAGAATATGGTACACGTGAAAGTTGTTTCCAAGAACGTCTGCAGTCAACAGCAGTGAACCACTAAAAAGGAAGAAACAACATCACAGGTGAGTTAAGGCAAAAAACAAAAACCCTAAACAAATAAGGGAAATTTTGAACGAGTGGTCTATTTTCCCACGAGTTTTTCATTTTAGGAACATTGAAAACATTGACAAATGAACAACAAATGAAACACAGACATACAAACGATGTTCACGGTATTACGAACAAACACACTGTTAGCATACTACCGTTTCTCAACTCGCTGTCAGTCTGTACTGAAATTTACAGTGTATGTAAAAGATAGGTATATCTATTTCAATTACTGTTATGTACTTGATAATTGTTCACATAATCACAGTAACACATATTAAAAAGTGTAGGGTTGATTTTTCAAATAGAATTCTGATAAACTTGTTTTCACCCTGTAAGATAAATTATTGACTAATGGATATACCTATAAAACACAAAAACACAAAACTGTTGAAAAATTAAATCTCACTAATATCAAAAATAGCAGGGACTTCTTTACATAAAATATCACACCTGGGGTCAAAGGACATGCCAGACAGGGTCTGTCCTGCATGGGCAAGAAAATGGGCCACTATGCCAATGCCTTCATGGTCATCCTCTTGTACACAGAACTACAATAAAAATGCACAAATAAATAATCATACAAAAGAATCACATTTCTCAGGTGGGAATAACATTTCTTTTCCATCTTTCCTGAGAATCAGTTTTGCCTTATTCTATATGATAACATTCCTATGAATTCCAAAAGAAAGTGTAAAAAGTAGTATCAGTATATGGATTCACTGCATAAGAAAATTAACCATACAAAGAGGCTTGCTGATGTTGAAAGACAATTACTTTTGACAACTGTACCTCTCCATTTCCAATTTTTTGTGTATCTATAATGGTTACAACTCCTGGTGTGATTGTGGATTTCTAAGGACAGAGCAAGACAATTTTGACAAGTCAGAACACAAGAAAACCAATCTATGGTTATTATTGGTACTATTAGTATTATTATTAGTATTATTAGGGGCCATTTGTACTGCAAGACTACCTGTGGGAGGGGCCATTTGTACTGCAAGACTACCTATGGGAGGAGCCATTTGTACTGCAAGACTACCTGTGGGAGGAGCCATTTGTACTGCAAGACTACCTATGGGAGGGGCCATTTGTACTGCAAGACTACCTGTGGGAGGGGTCATTTGTTTCAAGAGGGTGAGAATCATTTCAGAATTTAAACACCTAACACTCTCCATAGGAAAAAAAAATTGCTATGACTCACTTGGTTTAAATGGTCATTTGAAACTTCTGTTCCTGTCCATCGTCCTAAAATATATTGGAAGAACAACTGAAATCAGATGTTGTTTCACTACTTTCTTGGTTAAAAGAAAAAGACATGGTTGTGTAATAGTAATTGATACTCAAAACAAAATAATTGCATACCTAAAATTGTCAGACCCCTGGTGAGTGTCTGAAAAAAAAAAAAAGTCAATTAAGATCTGTTCTCATTTAAATGGCCAGCTTAAAGTTCATTAAATGTAACTCTGGTTTTCATTTACAGGTTCTCCTCTTTGCCCAATAATTTTCTGTATTCCACCAGAAAACAACTGTTTCAGTATTAACTCAGTCAAGGATCTGGCAACCACAGTACAAGCAAGTTTGTCAGTCACTTTGTCAGGATGGTGATTACCACCACTGTCGATTGTAGATTTCCTGTATCCTTTATCTGTTTATTAATGGGTGTTCAGTAACATTTTAATATCTCAGTCTTCATTTCACTAACATTCTTAAAAAGGATTTGTTAAAGTTTCATCTGCCAATTTTTGTAATGCACTCTTTGTAATAACAGCAGTTTTACTGGCTATAAAATTATTGTAAATATTCTATCCTATCATACAAACCTTAGCAGCACTGATGACTGTGGCTGTATATGACTGGGAATTATCCCCACACACTCCCCCACAGGACTGATGATTAGGTACCAACTGACAATACAAACACAACACTCAGTGTTATTGCTTAGTCCACAAAATGTTGTGAAAATATCTGATTGAAGAACCAACACTTCGAGGTACCTTGCAATCTGCATATGCCAGCCATCTGGTATTCAGTGCCAAGGGGTTAAGGTTAGGGCTTGGGGCTGGGTAACAGCCTAAAATTGAGGTTAGAAGTGCTTTTTTATCCACATTTTTATACCAAAAATACTTGGTTCAGAGTTAACAGAGTGAACTGAAAATCTACCCAGTCAAGAGGTGACAATGTTTAGAACCATTTCCTTCACATTAAGTAGTATTTGTGGCTAAAATTTTATGATACAAATGTGACTTGTCATACACTTCATTGAAAATTGCTAGTTTGAAAAATCAAGACTTTTCACAGTACTTTAATGTTACACACACAAACTACATCTGATCAACTCAAAATCCTGAAAGAAAGCTTTGGGTGGTGAGAAAATACATCATTCTGTAAGAAAAATAAATTCCTGATTATGTGCTGGGTTGTTATTGCACAGACTAGTGCATCATCGCAACCAACTCACTTTGATAAGATATTCAAAAGAATATACTTACTTGTTATGCAGAAACAGTTTTTGAAGGTACATGCATCAAAAGCTGCAATCTTTTCTTGAAGAGCAACAACCATCAATCTTAGTGGATAAAATGTTTCATACAATCCTCAATTCTTCAATGTATGATTGAAAAATGTCATGGCACCAGAATGTCTTTGTCTAAAGTACATCTTTAAGAAAGTATGATAAATCATTTATTAGTTACCTTCTATTGCACAGTACATCGTACACCTCAGACTTGAAGCCAATAGAGTGAACCTGTTCACCACTGCTAAGGGACCACAAATTTACCGTGGAGAATGGCAGGGAGGGGCTGCAGATACAAAGTTACGTTCATTTCAATTATCAGAGAATATGGATGACCTTTAAACATTTAACTGACAATTCTAGATCTGCTGATGAGATAACTTTCAGGTTTCTTTAACAATTGAAATGTTAAAAGCAATACTTCCAGATAAATGTTTTGAGTAACCTATTACTTTAATCAGTACCAATATGTTGAAAGACAAATTATCAAGAAACATAACAGTCATCTTTCATTAACTTACAAGGCAATCATAAACCTTAAATACCTTGCAGCATCACAGACAGCAAAAAGAGGTCTGACATCTGCAAATTCATCCTTTGACTTTGTTGCTAGAAGTGAAATGTTACCCTAACAATATCAGTGTTTAAATTGTGCAATATTACTGGGGTAGGATTTGAGAGAGAAAGAAATTGCCACTTGCCAGCTGACTATATCAAAATTTCATGCTTATCATAAATTCTTTTTGAGTTACATGTATATGAATACAATAGATGGCTGTGGGTAATTGTAAGTCAAAATCTGTGTATCTGACATGTATTATGCATCTGTGATGACATGTATCTGACATGAATGATGAGTTTCCATTGTAATGAATAATTTTCAGTCCAGAATGGTTTCTGAATGAAATAATCTGATAGAGTATGTTGAGAAAAGAAAATCTTATTTCTGAGATGTTCATGGACCACTAAGCTCTGCAGCCACTTCCCATGAGAGTAAGCTATTAAAACTTACTGGTCGTACTGCAAAGCTTATCATATAATTCATACCTTCCAGTGGTGTCTTGAGCATGCGCACAAGCCTTACGGGCCCTTGACGAAGAGATAACACCTCCTGAGCTTCACCAGTTGACTACAAAATATTGAACATGAAGCAAGCCATTACAGTAACTACAACATCAAGTTAAAAAAAATAGCAAAAGATTGAGAAATGACCATTAAGCTACTGAATTTATAATAATTAATAAAATAATCTAATATTTATATTGCGCAAATTAACATGTTGATATGATCAAATGCACATCACAACACTTTTCGAGGGACTTTGGCCGGACTGCATCAGCAGTTTACAAACAATCGAAGGAAACTTATTTGAGGATGCCCCCTCCCCCCAATTCCCAGTAAACAGGCCAGACCACATCACAGTAATCTCATGAGTGGGTCCCCTGCCTAACCAAATTATCTAATTAATAGATGCAGGAGAAAAAATGCCTCTACAGATGCATCATTAAACCCATCAATCACCAAAGACTATACTTACTGGGATGGTCCACACATGAAAGCCATTAGTGTAACCAAGAATCAACAGTAATGGCACACTAACTCCTGATGAAATTTCTTCCTGGTTAAGTATATTATCTGTGAGATATAAAACAGCCCCATTATAAGTCTTAGCTTCAAAATTTATTGAAAGCTACAATTCTGAGTTCAAATATTTAAATTGTAGAAAGACAGTTTATCTGGAAAGCTGTTACCCTTTAAAAAGACATTTAAACAGAACTTTATTTTTTGTCTCTCACCATTGATGTCTGCTTCCTCAAACTTAACCCATAACACCCTCTCCTTCTCTTCTTGTTTAACTCCTGTTACAGCCTGAGGGTTAATACAGTAAAAATATAATTACCAAATGGACAGTCTAACATGCTGTTATTATCCTTCACCTTGAACCCTTCTAAACCCTTTTAATTTACATGTAATGAAACCTGTTGCATTGATTCACGGTTAAAAAGAAGAGCCTGGTTTATATATTTAAAACACCCTATAATGTCATTATCAAACTCTGCCACCCAAGGAAAAGGTCTCACACAATTCATCCCAATAGGAGACAACTGGCCCCAAACAGTAAATTTCAATCCAGATAAACCCTTTGTAACATTCACCCTCACAAAGAAAGCTATCTAATTCTATGTTGCCCCACCTGGGAAAGATAATGGACTCTTAAGCTCCAGATTTTACACTAACTCTCACATGTTAAAGCAAGAATTTTGATTGATATTTAAAGGGAACTCTTGCTAATAAAAACAAAGCCTACTGCCTTCTTCATTCACCTATTATTTCAGAATCAGTACAAGGTTATCAGAGATGATGTTTACACTGTGTCAAAATAAACAGAGAGTAACACAGCTGTTTCAGTATCAAAGTCTATCAATAATCAACAACATAACAATAACAACCCTGGTCCTGAAACAGACAAGTGACAAGAAAGAAAAAAAAACTACATTTGAAAAGCCCTCCCCAATCCACCTCCCTCTAACTTACAAAGAATGACAGGGCAACCACTATGTAAATACACTACTCAGGAACAAGTTTTAGGAAGTTCCTAACTGAAATTTTATTGAATGTAAGTGTGCTTAAAGAATGCATGATTCATTCTGTCAAATTAAAGACTGAGATAAATTAACAACATCTTTAACTGGCTGATTCTCATGAGTTCATATTGACTATCACAAGTAAATCATATGATAATTGTTTGTTCACATGTGATTTTTTTTTTGGCTATTCTTAACTCAAGTAAATATGAAATAAGCTTGTAAGTAGCAAACCACAACAATAGTTTAGTTTAAAAGAAATGACCTTTATAACCCTTGCTATTTCAAAGGTCACTGGTTTTTCTTGCTAGAGGCTTGAAAACCCATAACTGAGAGGTACTTTAAGAAGGATTTTGTTTTTTTGCTGATCTTGCAGGTTTTCTTTGTCAAGCACCATACAAAAGAAATCAAACAAACAAAAAAAGAAAATAAACTGCACTATAAAACTGTACTGCCTTGAGTACAGTATTAAACTCAACGCTTGCTTTATACTTTGACCCACTCAAAATAAACATTTACATATCGTGGAAAATTGACCATGTACCTTCATACTGTATAACTTAAAAGGTAATATCATTTTTAATTCCTTTTCGGTGCCCTGCTGCTTTAACAGACAAGTGCAAAATTGTTTCTCGGCAGAAATTTGAGTCACTTAAAAATGCAAAAAATTTTCCCACCACAACTCATAACACCTACCCACAAAATATGACTTCAGAAAAATTTTCATAGTTGGTCATAAAAAGATGACATAAAAGCCAAAAAGTACAACTGTTGTTTGAAGCATAGAATCATCCACTTACCCTCTACTAACTCTGACTTCTTACAATTACCCCTCTATAAACCTTGGCTAAAGAATTCATGTGACTTAATCAAGATTAAAATATTTATTTCCCACAGTGTATGATATTTCATACCATTTTGACCAATTACACTTTGACATCACAGTTGATACAAATTAGATAGGTTAAGACCGACTTAATATTTAAATGAATTCTACTTTGAACAAAAGCTTGAAAACAGTTTACAAATTTGACCAGAATTCGATGAGGACATTTAGGAAATGTTTAGAGACACTGGTCAATTGTGTGACAGTGAAAAAATTCTGTACATGTCTGTCACGTAATATTTTAGTGTATGGAAGTGTAATTTTATTTCAACGAGGAATATTGAGCTGAAGTCTAGTCACAAGGAAATTATCACCAGTACTAATATCTCCGAGATTTAAAATTACTTTCCACGACCACAGCTTAGGCGTCAAATTTTGTCTTTTTTTTTTTTCGAAAAGAAATCGAAAGGGAAATAATCACACCATGTTTCCAAAATGTATCCTAATTTTTTACTTAATTTTGAGAAATTAATTCGGGTACAATTCAACGTCCAGTTTAACTGTTTCGTTTTTGATTAAACCTATACTTTGACAATCACGACCAAATCAAGATGACTTCAAGGATGTTATTTTTATCTTTTAAAGGATTTATTGTAGCATTTGCTAAATTTAAAGGAAACGAAAAAGAGAAATAAAACCACCACACCTATTGTAGGCCCATTAACGATGGCAAGTCACGTACATGCACATGATTTTTCGGTTAGATTGATCTCGAACGCAACTGAAGTGGTTTTCTTTGTTGTTTATAAAATTTCTCGCATAAAAAAGGTTTCAATGAACCTAAAATACCCCTTAAAATAAAAGCAAGACAACACAAAGGAGAAAAATAGTAGCAAATCGCACACTAACATTAGATGACGTTATAGAAATACAAATTTTTTATTTCGAACAAAGAGCTTTACTTGCCTGAGGTACGACGTCTTGTAGGAAGTTTACCACGCTTTCCACATAGGATTTGTCACTGAAAAAAGCGAGATCGACATCATTTAAATGTTAAACGAGATTTGGAACTTCAGACCAAGCCAAAAGATTTAGTCAAATGGTTAAAAACCTTATGGCTTGAGGTCGAACGACAATCCCACCACCGCGCGAAATTCGCCTCGCAACTGAGTCCACAGACATCATCTAGAGCTAAAGAAAGCTCTTTTTGATCTTCACAACTGAAGATGAGGAAGCTAAGTAGCTTTTAAGCTTAATTTTGATTACGTTTCCATCGCCGTTTCTTCATATCGTCGCTTTGAACATCATTTTTGATGACCAAAACTCTGTTTTGGCGCCGCGTTACGTCAGAAAAAAACATTGTTTATCTGCCTCGTTATCAGAGTTTTGGAGAGGCCTGGGAACAATTGTAAAAAAAATTAGGATGAAATGTCTACAATGCGATCGATTGCCTGCTGTTTTCCGAATGGCTATCAGTTTAAATTAGGATTCTTTTTGTCTCCCCTAAGCAAAGAAATACCCAAAATGAAGACAAAGGGTGCAATTAAAATGACACTATTATTATTTCCGGGCGATTTTTATACATTTCCTTAATCATTCATAATGACAGACCACGTCCCAGTTTCAAAACAGGTCACGAAAATATAACGTTAGGTCAAATAAAAAAGTTGAATGATAAAAACTTAAAGACTTAAGCTCAATATGAAATGGGTAAGCTGGAGGCGGCATAAGAAGACCACCCAATCTAAAGATATTTGATTCAGTTTTCAGTCCCGATTTGTGTTTCGTGCAGATTCCCCACAATAGGGTGCCTCTCTGACGTCAAAGTTTTTTATCTTTTTTTGTGCTTGTGTTAAAATCTCTGAATTTATTTTGAATATTTTACCTTAGGTGTAGACCTAATTTTCAAAAGAAATCAAACATAGCCTTGTCAGTAATTATATTTGCCAAGTAATTTGCAATAATTTTATGTGAGTCTAGCCAACACAAATAAGAGCCCAGTTAGACAAAGAACTCCTAATCCCATTTATGACACGACCTTGAAAAGAGAACTTGCCGATTTGTGACTATGTCTATGAGTGTTTTTTAGCACTCTGGGGCTTCCAAATCAAGGAGCTCAGCCCATTTTACTGATATAAGTGATTAGCATCTAATTTCTCCATTCAGTGTCACTGGTGAATTCAACATTTAGATTATGAGAGTAAAGAAAACGATCGCTGACTAACTCTTCCTTGTTAAACAAATTTTCCTTGTCAGCACTACAGAAAATGTATAGAGAGTACTATGGAGAACACAGAGACTGTTTTTGGAGTGTAAAGAGAAGGCAAGATTTGATAAGGGGACTTTTTCGATTTGGCATTTTGAGGTTGATTTTCACTATCGCGTCTATATACCTTGTGTAATTTTTTTGGGGGGGGAGTTGGAGAAGGTAATCTAATTTTATAGGGCCACCTTTGCACAATGAGGCACAAAACAGCTTGTTATTTCCGCGGAAAATGTCACTTTTCATGGTGAAGGTGGCTCTCATTTTTCCGCAGATAGGAGCGATCGTAATTCAGTTGGGTTTTACTAATCTTTCACACGCTTACACTTTGGATCCATTCGTAGTTACCCGCACGTAAACAGAGAGCGATTTTTTCTCTTTTTCTGCAGACGAAGTCCTTTTTTTAACCAATGTTCATGGTTTTCTGGAAAGTTAGGGTTTTTAGGCCCTGGGACTGTTCTTTTCTCTTACGAATGTGGAGTGGAAAAGTTTTCAACGGTCTTTCCAGTTTGAACAGAAAGATATGTTGAAATTATTGAATATTTCCTCTTAGTTAACAATATTTTAATCAGAGGAAATGTACGACTTCAGTTCACTCTTTTTCTCAAAGAGGAAAACCGCATGAAAAGTCATTTTTAACTCTCTGGACGAAGCCAACATTGCTAAAAAAAAAAATTAAAAAGTACAGAACAGAGACGACAAGCAGGACAAGTGGCTTTTCCAATTGTCCAGTACGTTCACCATTTACGGTAACGTCTAATCAATCCTTTAAGTGTATCCCGTAACATTTTTGGGCGCAAGACGGGTTCCCTAGCTCGCTCATTGGCTATTGCCGAGAACAATTTTATCAAAAAGATTAAAACATGCGTGACACTATGTCACGTCCACTACTTCTTCCTTTATCATATTCTTCGTCGCTTCATTTGCTTTTTTACTTTTGGTAAAGCACACCCTTGAATGTAAGGAAATCCTTCAGGGTTGAACAGTACAACATCACTCCGAGGCTCAAACTTTGTAAAGATATATTTCCTCACTTACCGCTTACCTGTAAACATTATTTTATTCTACGAACCTGAAGAACATATACATGATTAAATTTTCAAATTCTAGACATTTGCATTAGCTATTTAACAAATATTATACCCAAGACTCAGAGCTCTGACGAAGGGCTAATGCTCAAAACGTCAGCTTTTTAAGTCTTTTCGGTGGCCAATTTAGAATTTCAACTTAGTTCGTATTACCAAATTACTTTGCATAACATTGTTTGATATGACGAAATAAGGAAGAGGTTTTCGTTCTTATTCAGTTTAATATACCTGTGACGTAGTGTAAACTAAATAGCATTTGATATCACTGAAAACTGAATCGAAAGATACTTACATACATACATACATACATCCTTTATTTGGTAAAGCAGGTTGAGGAAATGGCAGCTAATGCTGATGTGAACTTCACAATACACCCTCTTTATCAGCATACTTTGTCTAACTACATTTCTTCTCTTTACCTAAACTTGCAGTTTTATTTCTACGGATTCTAACTAAGACAATTTTAGCAGATATAAAACTCAGTATTGAAAACTATACTAATACGAAGTTTCTACCTCTTACTACACTACGTCGCATAGAACGAAGAATCAATTATAGTTTCTTTCTAAAGAATAATTTACATTTTTGTCGCCTTCGTGATTTGCTATCGACCACCTAGGAATACGAACCTCTCCTATGGATTCTTGATCATCTTCCGCCGTTTAAGAACGAATAATTACTGCATGAAGTCGGTTATATTACTTATCATATAAGGGGCAAAATTACTGAATTGTGATTGGTCAAGACAGAGGGCATTTTTTCTTAATTTTTGTAATTAGCCATTTTCTAAACGAGCGGCGGTCTGGGTACGATTTGCCACCATAAAGGCTCTTGGGATCGTCTGGAGGGACAACGTGAAGGTAAACTAACATGGCGCACTATAATTGCTGTATTCCAGGCTGCACTAATAGTTACACAAATGCACCTAACCTTCAGTATTATAGAATTCCTAAAGACCCTTATATACGTAGAAAGTACGTGGTTCTTATGAGGAACGANAGGCATCCCATCCAGGGGGGGGAAGTAGAAATACTCCTAGTCGCTTCATGCTACAGAAACAGGAGTTAAGCACCGGCCTGATGGGCCACTAGGTTCGTAAACAGACTTTACCTTTACCAAGTCAATCCTTTAGGTGTATTCTGTAACATTTTTGGGCGTAGGACAGGTTGCTTAGGTCGCTTAGAGGCTATTGCCGGGAATAATTATAACAAAGTGATAAACACGTGCGTAGCACTGTCATGTCCTCGACTTCTTCCATGATCGTATTCGTCGCTTCATTTGCTTCTTTACTTTTGATGAAGCACCCTTCAAGGGTCAGGAAGTCCTCGAGGGCTGAAAAGTACAACATCATTCCAACACTTCAACTTCGCAAAGATAAATTTCATCTCTTGCTTGTAAACATTATTTCAATTTATGAAGAACATCGTTAAAAATATCAAATTCTGACATTTTCCTTAACCATAATCACCTCTAAATACAAATTACCTACTTATATAATACCCAGGAATCAAGATAACTTTATGACAAAAAACCAGATCTAAGTTGATACATCAGTGTATATTCTTATTACAATCTGCATAAGACTAATATTCACTGTCTACAACTTACATGACCGAATCTAATAATTTTCGACCAGTTTGACGTGACGAATAATAAAACAGATGCTTATGTCGAAATAAGGAAGACTTTTTCGTTCTTATTCAGTTATAACCCGGCGTGAAGTAGTGTAAACTAAATAGCATTTGATATCATTGAAAACTGAATCGAAAGGTACTTCACAATACTCTCTCTTTATCAACGTGCTTTGTCTAACAACATTTCTTCTCTTTACCTAAACTTGCAGTTTTATTTCTATGGATTCTAAGACAATTTTTAGCAGATATAAACTTAGTATTATTTGGAAACCACGCATTAGATCGATTAGATCGGTCCTGCTTCATGTCACCTCAATCTGGACTACCTGTAACAAGGAGAGTCTAGGTCGTGTTTTAAAATTGCAGAAAAGAGCAGCCAAGGTAATTTCTGATGCTGACAACCAAACGTCTAGTGTCAAGCTGTTTAATAGACTTCAGTTACGAGGAATCCAAAATAGCTAAATGCTGCGTTGCGTACAAACGTATTAAACGTGAAGTACCCTTTTATACCGAAGGCTCTTTAGTACTTAATCATGTCAGCAACATAATCGTGCTACAAGATACTTGTAGGCTCTACTTGTTGTTTTTCTTATAAAACGTAACTGAAACTCGGTAAAGAGAGTGGTTCTTAGAACTGATAGCGGCCTCATACAAATTAGTGCATCTAATTTCGCACCAAATGGAGGCAACTGATGGTAGCTTTGGCCTTACTCATAAAGTAAGTACTAATAATTCTCTACATACTGCTTATTATCCTGAGGGAGATTCTAGTGTAAATCACTTAATGGTTAAATATCTCATTTCCATCGCCTTGGAATTTTATAGCTTTCTCTTTTTCAAAAGGTTTAAACATTTCCCCACTTGCTTTTTACATTGAATACTTTGAGTTTCTAAAATACAAGACAACTTTTTAAGCTGGAAATTAACACCTTAGGGGATTTCAAATTGTTTGTTACTTACTGAAAAATCCTAAAAAACGTAAAAACTATTTACCCAGAATCCCGCGACATTGGAACAAACTTATGACGATTTAACCATGTTCACCGGTTACCAATGATGATTAGAAATCTTAACCATTGTTAATGTCTTAACTAACTCAGGGTAAAAAGGAATAACGGGTGCACAAGACTCCAGTGTTATGAAAGTTTCTTCTGTGAAGAAGGAATGTCATCTTTCCGCATCTACAAAACCTGAGGTTTCTCTACATTCCTTGTCACCCTTAATCCGTTTATACCGTCGTGCGTCACGGTCCATGCTACCAGCACTATGTAGATCACGGACTCTTGAACGCTGTTGGTAAAATAAAGATATTTAGCCAACAAACACAAACAACACTGAAAAATTACTGTTAGTAATGGAGCTGTGAAAAAACAATTTTCATTCACTCCTGAACTGAGCGCCATGTTCTCATTTCCTGTTTTTGCTCTATCGTCCACAAGCGTGGGAGGTAGTGTT